CACAGCTGCTTTCCACCCCACTAGCGCTTTATTGCAAGCTCCTGCGTGCAGCTCCCGACAGTACCGGGGCGACCTCTGCAGCCCTCAGCCTCACAGACGCCCGCCCCGCCCGCAGCCCGCCCAGCTCTTCCAGGCCTGCCCCTTCGCCTGGCCAGCTGTGGGCCAACGGCACACTGGGGCTTGGCCAGGACTGCGGAGGGCAGTGTCCAGGCGCCAGGTGGGCCCGCAGCTCGGGACTGTGGCGGCTCAGCAGCCCCCCAGCCGCCGCCACGGTTCACAGACCTGCCAGAGAGGGCTGATGGCCAGCGACCCACGGCGACCAGGCTGGCCATTTGCCCAGAGCGGAGGGGCCTTGTTCAGAGTAGGTGCAGATGGCCAGGCAGGTGTCCCCAGAAGTCGGCTCTCCCCGCCCTCCAGTGCAGGCCACCCAGACAGGACCCCCGTGACAACGGCTGTCTCACAGCAGCAGCCCTGGGGCCGGGAGCTGATCCTGTTCTAGGAGGGGTTCAGAAGAGGGGCCCAGTGGAACCCCGAGGCCTAGGAGACAGCCTGGTCCCTGAGGCCTACCCTGACTGTCCGCTCTGCCCTGCCAACTCCCTCAGCGGCTCAGGAGTTGGTCAGAATGCTGCCGGCTGGTGAAATGCACAAGCTGATGAAACACCCAAATGTCAAAATTCCTCCTTCTAGGTAAATATTTGTCCTTTGGGCTATTTCAGTACCTTCAGAGGCAAAGGAAATCTTTGCATATGCAAAGAGGGGCGTGATGGTGTTTATTATAGTGAAGGAAAGAATGGTCTCAGGTCCTAAGTCACGTCCTATCCCTTTAGTTTGAATTTTGTAAATTAAAAGGCTACAATTAACACATCTTTGTACACGACATGTCCGTGGGCATCTAGGACGTTTGTCAACACGCCACCCTCCTTGAGAAGCTACAGATGAGAGAGAGAGTGTTGCGTGGAGACAGCGCGGCTGCCTCACCCAGCCCCAGGGACAGGGCGCCCCGCCCCGCGCACACACGCCCTCCAGGCCGCGCTCGACCTGGAGAAGGAACATCTGGTCTAGAGGACCATGACCAGGGCTGCCAGGATGGCTCCGGGTCACCCCGAATGAGCTGATGGCCGTTCCCAGCTTCCGTCACGGCACCTGCTGAAACCGCTACCCGCCTGACAGTCACGGGCCAGGACGGGGTCCAGAAGTCCCCGTACCCGGGAGGCCAGGGACAGCGTTTCATACGGGCCACTGCACCTCCGTTGTTAAAGAGAATGAAACTCTGCAGCTGGATTCTCTAATTCCATATTTAGTTGTAAATGTAAGACGGAACCGCGAGTTCTCTCTGTATCAGCAAATAAAGGTCCCGTCAGAACCGCTCCCTGCGCGGTGCTTCACACACAAGCCCGCAGAGGCTCAGCTGGCCGCTAGGAAAAGACATTCTTGAATTTTATAATATTATCAAAATATGCCAAGGAGCACCCTTTGCATATATTTTATAACATTTGCAGGGATATTTGTAGAATAAATTTTTAGTGCTGAACGGAAGAGTACATCGGCTTATAAATTTGAAAAAAATTCAATAATTTTGTCCCAAAATAATTGTAGTAGTTTATAACCCACCAAGGGGATAAAAAGTCACTTATCTTATGCCCTAAAAAGCTGCGGGTTTTCAAGAATTTTAAGTTTTGGCATTCAGTATGGTGAGATATTATTTTGCATTATTATTTAAATTTGCTTAAAATGCATTTGTCATGAACTATATTTAAACTCCTTGTTCACATTTTACCTGCTGTTCTCAATTAAATGATTACTTTTATTTCCTTATCGTTCTGAAAGTGCACCTTATGAATGACGGAGTCAGCTCTTGTCACTCAGGCCTATGTAAATGCTTTTCTCAATTTGTCATTTGTTTTTAAATCTCAGGAAGTAAAATCTCCTGTCATTTTCTTCCTGCTGTGCAAATGATGTGTCTTGAAGAGCTTCCTGTTAGTGTCTTTATTTTTCTCTATTAACATTAACAATGAAGCTTTTACGTTTATCAAACTGTGTCTGCTGTCAGGTTTCCACGACCGAACACAAAATGCTTCTCTGCTGGACACGCCGCAGGTCACCTGGTGGGTCCTTTTCTCTCTCCAAGTCTGATGCCTCCCGGTGCCCGCCCTGTGCTGCATCCCTGCGAGAGACGTCCCAGGAGCCGGCCTTTGGCTCTAATCCCCCCCACTCGCTGCACCCACCCCAGGTGATTCTTCAAGGCCTGCGCTGCCGTGTTCACAGGCTCCTCTGCTCCCGAAGGGGCTGCGATTGACACGACCGTTCATTTTCGGCTACGGCAGAAAACATGGCCTCAGTGCGGGGACGGAGCGGGCGGGGAGGCAGTGGTCCAGGTCCAAGCACAGTCAGAAGTGGCTCACGTCCTGCCATCTCGCGCAAATGCTCACGCGTGGCCATCTCGCGCAAATGCCCTGTTATCCTGTCTCCAGGGTTTCCGTTTGCTAGAAGCGCAGCCATTTCCGTTGCTAAAATACGAGTTTTAAGGAAATAACGTGCCCTTGTTCTCACCCGACGCTGCCGTGAGGGTGCCCGGGGGAGGACCTGCCTGCGACGGCCCGCAGGCCCTGGCCGCCCTGGCCCCGCCAGCGCCCTCTGCCTGGCCAGCTGCGAGCAGCCGACTCGGCCCCGACTCGGGCCTGCCAGTGTGGGCCGAGCCTGCCCCGAGCGCTCATGGGGCTGCACTGAGGCGGGGATTCGGGCGATGCTCAGGGCTCTTCCCACCCACCTGCTTCACAGGCGCGAGAGAACCGCGGGCGTGGAAGCTGGGGCAGGGGCAGGGGCCGGGGCGAGACGGACACTGGGCGGCCTTGCTCTCCTCCCGAGGCTGAGGCCAATGGTCAGGGCCAGCGCTGAGGCCACTGCGGGGCAGCCGGGGGCCTCCTCCCTGCCCTGGGCTGGCCCGTCCCCACCCTCTCTTGACCCTGATCAAGGGCTGGGGTCTGCGGAAGGGTGAGATGTGGCGCCTCGGCCTGTGCTAGGACGAGCCTTGGCCCCTAGGGAAGCGTTTCCACCGGCTCCACCTGACGCTGCAATTTAAATTGGACGTTGGTCGCCCGCCAAGCTGAAAACAACGCGACACTGAGATTTTCACCCACGGATCTGTAAATGGCCCCCTCGGCCCTCCTGACGGACAGCAGGCCGAGTCTGGCCACTGCTCCATGGACCCTGGACGCAAGCGAAACCCCGTGCGGGCCCCCAGGTTCTCGGGCCCAGCCTTCCCGGCGCCGCCAGCACCCGCCTTCTCGCGGCTCTCGCGCCAGCGAGTCACCAGGTCCAGGAGCCACTGAGGAAACGAGGCTTTTGGCAACCACCTCCCCTCCCCTGCGGGGCTCCCGACTCAGCAACATCTTCACTCAGACCACCCCAAGACTCACCGACCCCGGGAAAGGGGCGCGCCTGGGCCTCTGTGTCCCGAGGGCCTCGAGGCCCCTCAGGGTCTGGCCCGCTCCCTCCGCCCGCGTGAGGAAGGGGCCCAGAGCAGCCCGGCCGTGCGTCCCTGCAAGCAGCCCCCAGAGGAGAGGCTTCCGTCTGCTGCTGGCCGTGAGCCGGGCCCCAGGGCGGGGTTTCTGGAATGAACACAGGGCGAAGGGGGCTGGACTGTTTACAAGCCAGATGCGCAGAGGGGCGAGGAGGCAGCGAGATCAGCTCATCCCCCTACACGGACACGTCAGGGCGATCACAGCCCTTCAGACGGTCAGAGAGCCGGGCTGCAGGCTGGCCGTCCCGTCTCCCGCCGCCCCTGCCCCAGGGCGACGGAGGGCGTGTGGGCCTGCGGGAGCCAGAGGAGCGACCCCTCAGGGGTGGGATAAGAAACGGATTAAAATCCCATTCTTCGGAAGACCCAGGAGGCCAGTAAGAAACGTGCATCAAGTGAGCAAGCAGTGCACGTGGAGCCACGAGGCTCAAACGTCCCAGCGCAGCACCGCAAGTGCTCACAGAAGAGGAAGAAAGTTTATCCAACTGGCCAGAATGGGGACAATGATGTGAAAGAGACGAGTATTTCCAAAACCGACAACAGGCGTCGCAGCTGACCCAGAAAACATTAGGGTTCACATCTGAAAAGGCATGAAGGAAAGGCCAGCGAAAGACTTGAAATAGACCGATAGGACATACTTAATCCCCGACGGGTAGTCAGTCTGCAGACACCGGAGCTCGGCGTGAACTGCTGTCTTCTAGCCAGAGACTCTCAGTCCACAAACCCAAGAAGCGCGTGACCGTCACGACCAGCATCAAGGTCAAGGCCCTTGTACTCCAAACAAGCAACTCCTGCGGCTTCCTGGCCCCTTCTCTGCAGGCCCCTGAGCCACCTGGCGGCCCCCACGACGGCAGCACCTGAAACCAGGGGGCTGCCTCGGCGCGGGCTTAGCTGTGCTCCTCGGGTTGGCTCTGGAACCCGGCCGCCTGGAAGCCAACCGTCCTCTTTCCTTTGCAAAATTAAAAAAAAAAATACAACATTTTTCTTGTTGATAAATGAAAACCAACTTACAATCGTCCTTGCCAGTATTCGTCCTCCCGGTGGTAAAAACCAGAGACCGAACGAGAGAGCGAGCGGGCGGGAGATCACGCGCGGAACGGCCACCCCCAGGCGCCGCCACTCGGCGGGCGCCGCCCCGAGTCCCGCGGGGTCTGACCACCCAAAGGCCGCTGCGGTGCCTGACCTGCGCGCCTGCACTGACCTTGGCCATCTCCCCCCGCGCCACAGTGGCTTGAAAACAACGGTGTTCACAAGGTCCCTGAATGATCCCGGCAGCCTGCTGCGCAGATCGCGAACAAGCTGGTGCCCGTGACTCTCACCACAAGCGACCTGGGATCGGGACAGCGGTGCTGTCTCGCCCGCACGCTCCCCCGTCCCCCGGAGCACCGGGCACACTCCCTCGCTGACAAGCAGTTCCGAGGAGGGCTCAGCCTCCGAGCCGGCAAACAGGCGGCCCAGTCCGCAGTGAAAGCGCGAGACTCACCTGACTTTCAGGTTCCCCTGCTGGAGCTGCCCGTCGTACACGGACAGGATGTCGAAGTCCTCCTCGAGCGCGAAGGTGTGGAAGGACAGCTGGACGCGGCCGCGCTCCCCGGTGACGATGACCCAGGTGCAGTTGGCGTAGTTGGGGTAGCCGTGCGGGAACCCCGGGCTCTCGATGGTGCCGTTGGGCCCCTGGACCAGGCCTCCACAGTTCTGGCCTGTGGAGAAAACACGAAACGCGGCCCGTTAGATCGGCCGTCTTCACCCTGTCCCTGCAAAGATTCCCGGCCGCCTCGCGCCCCGTGATGACTTAGTTTGCGGTTTTCATCCCCAATTACGGGGTGACCTATGGCCACAGAGTCTCCACGGGGAGACAGAACAAAAATGAGGCGGGGTCTGGGGGAGGGAGAGAGAGAGCAGAAGGCAAGAAAGCAGCCCACGGCCGCATCCGGGAGCTGGGAATTGCTGGGGGTGTCTGTCATTTTCCGACGCGGCCCCTTGGCGGTCAGACGGCGTATTTGGGAACAAGGTTGGGGCCAGTTACCTCCAAGCATCGCGCTGGAAACACTTTGCCCATGACTTTTTTTTTTGAGGAGGGAACTAGCTGGACAGATAAAATGACCGGTAGGAAGCTATGTAGACGTGCACTAGGACATTCGAGACGACTGCCATCCCTGGTGACGCGGACGGCGGGAAAGGCCGCGTCCTCCGTTCACGCACCCGATCTGCAGCCACATTGGCCAGGGCCCTAGAAGCCTGGCGAGTATAACCAGGGGCATGACTATGACCTGGTTGAACACAAAGGCCTGCAAGCCCATAAATTGCATTACATTAAACTTCAGGAGCAATCCAGGAAAATACCGGACCACCCCCAGCAACCTCTCCCCACTCACAGAGGGCGACGCTGGGTGCAGGGCCCGCTGTCATGGGGACCGACCGTTAAAGACGGCGCAAGACTCAGGACTGGGCAGGGAGAACTCGGGGCCCCTACACAGCTTCGCAGGGCATCCACGCCCCACTCACCCCTCTTCTTTAGTGCCCCATGGAAAGGTGGGATTAGGATCTTTGTCGGCGTTCAATATCCAGTGTGTGCCGTTGCGCTGTGAGTAACACAGGTGCTCTTGGCCCCCATTTCTGCACAGAGCGCCGAAGCCGCGACTCCCCAAGTGGGCAGAGCAAAACCAGGTGAGCTCTGCAAGCAGGGGACGGTTGCCAGGGCGACCAACGGTGTGACGGGGCCATTTCAGGGGCCTCCAGGGAGGGGAGGGGCTGGAGGTTGAAGCGACCACGGTCAGCCCATCGGTCAATCATGCCTGTGTCACGTAGCCTCCATACGAACCCAAGGGAGGGGTTCTAGGAGCACTAGCCTGGCGAACCCCTAGATTCTAGGAGCTCTAGGCTGGCGGACATGTGGAGCCCCAAGCTTTTCCCCGATGGCCCCGAGTCCCTTCCGTGTTGCCATCCAATCTCACCCTTCAGTACCCTTTGCGCTAACCCAGCCAGGGGTGGTTTTCTCAAGCCCTACTCTGGTCACTTAACCCAACCCAAGGATGAGCTTGGCATCCTGAGCTGGGGGGACCTTTGGAAAGTCCCGCCAGGGCTGGTCGGTCAGAGCACGGGGAACACCCGGGCCCGAGACCGCTGTCGGGAGTGGCAGCAGCGCCGCGAGACTGAGCCCAAGCCTGGAGTCCCTGCTCTTCCCACAGAGGGTCTCGGGCCTGAGCTGAACTGGAGGACACCGGGCAGGGTCCAGGAACAACTTGTTGGGTGGTGTGGGGAACATGCCACCATCATGGAAAATTGGGGGTAGCCCCCCAGATAACATGATACTGGGGAGAAGATAGGAGGGTCGGCGGAGCACCACACCCCCAGCCATGTTCCAAGATCTGGCTGCAGCTCAGCACCGCCTCGAGATCTTGATCTACTGATTCTAGCCTTTGGCTTCTCTGTCAGTTCTCAGATTTCCAAGGAACAGCTCTTTTGAGAAAGAGCACCCCGGAATTCCTGTAAACTCTGCCGTCTGCTGAGAGGTCGGCTCTGGAGAGGGGGCAGCCACGCCTCTGGCCCAACTGCACTTGTCTCATCAGACAGGCTACGCCACCCTATCGTCCTCCAGGCCGTCTCCTTCCTCTGCCTACTGTGTGCTCCTTCCCCCTCCTACTGTGTGCTCCTTCTCCACCTACTGTGTGCTTCCTTCTCCTCCTGCTGTGTTCTCCTCCACCTACTGTGTTCTCCTTCCTCCTCCTACTGTGTGCTCCCTCTCCAAATACTCTGTGCTCCTTCCTCCACCTACTATGTGCTCCATGAGGCCCTTTGTGGCCATGGCTTCGCCTCCTCCTAGCCAACGTGACCTCCTGCACATAAGCCTCCAGGGAGCAGCTGGTTTGGTCCCTACAGCCGCTGTGCTTCTGCTCAGCTGCCTCTCACAGTGCGCCTGCCTGGCTGGGTGAGGCCAACCCGGTGGGTGAGGACGCAGAGGGCCCAGGACAGACCCGCTGAGTGGACACCTCTTGATCATCTTAACTGCACGTCGCCTCCTGTGAGGGAGAAGTAACTCCCAGCAAAGAGCCGCGCCTCCCTCTGAGGTCGGCCAAGCAGCCCCGGGCCTGTCTGCAGGGCCACTGCCTCCTCACTGCCTGCCCACCGATGCCGTAGGCGCATTTCCACGTTTTGACAGGGCGGGTATTGAGAAAGTTCTGGAGAGAGCGAGGCCCACTCAGATTATTGCATGTAGCGTAAGGCCTTGAATACAAGTATTGCCCCAGCTTTTCTCATTGAACTGCAAACAAAATTATTTCCGACGGCATTTTACACTTAAAAAAAAAAGTCGCAATAGTAGCTCTCGGGGAGCTCGACCCTCGCACGGTAGCATCAGCGAAAGCTTGTGGAGTTCGCGAAGTCTTCATAAAGAGATTTAATGAAAAGGATTTATGAGTAAAAAACCAAAGAACTAATAAGAAGCCCATTTTCCACTAAATTTAAATCTAACAATAACATTGTAACAAGCAGATATTAAAGCTGTGGGGTTTTGAAAGGTCTTTAAAGAAAATAGCTTTTCTGGTTCATCTAGCAATTCCGGCGTCACAGTAAATCAAAAAGCGAAGACTTGATTATAAACTGGAGGAAAGAAAAATAAATTCGACAGAGCGCGTGTCCGCTGGAAGCAGGCACTGCCCGGCCACGCGCTGCGCCGGTCTCGGGCGGTCAGGCGGCCAGCAAGGCCGCAGGGAGGGCGCGGGCCACGCGGGCAGGGAGCGGCGAGTCTGGCGGGCGAGCCTCGGGCGGTCACTGACAGCCCCCTGCGCCCCGAGAGACCCGGGGGACGGCCTTCCAGGGTGGCTCTGGGCGCCTGCTGGTGCCGCCACCTGAGGCGTTTCAGCGCCTCTGAGTCCGAGACAGCCTGTCCTCGGGGCCTGGGCCGCGAACGCCCGAGCAGTCCCCACGGAGGGCGGCCCGAGCTCTGCCGCGACTCAGGGTCACATTTTACTCGAAAGCCACGTAACTTAGTGCTGGACGCCCGTGTCCAGCCCACCTAGATCAGCTGCCGGCGGCTCAGGCCAGAGGCCCGGGCACACTGCAGAGGCTCAGCCACCAGCTTCAGGGCCAGGGTGGGGCCGGCGCCCGGGAGAGAGATCTCTCCTTAGATGCCGCGGGGAGGAGACATGGGGACGCCAGCCTCGCCCGGCACCAGCTCTGCCTGTGGCGGATCTAAAGTTAAATGTCAAGCAATAATGCTCCAGAAGAAAACATTACAGACCCCCATAACTGAGGGGTAAGCGGAGATTTCATAAAGAAACACAAGAAGTGACAACCCTAAAAAGAGGGGAAGGAAACGAACCATGGACCGTGTGTGGTGCTCAGGGATGACGGCTGAGCCTCGCACGCCGGTGAGGAAACAACGTGACGCCGGGCCGGGTGCCGGCGGCTGCGACTCGCGCACAGAATTATGCTCTGAGAGTGGAAGAGACACCCAGACGCTGCAGTGGGAAGGAGCGCCCGGCCCTACCACTTTCTGCCCGAGCCAGGCCCAGCCTGCAGGAGTGCGGGGTCGCGCGTCGTGCTGAAGGGGAAGAAAAGCAGGTTCCTTTGGCCTTTCTTCGGAGAGGGAACAGCCCATTTGGGTCATTTCCTGAAACTGGCCCCAATAGGGAAACGTGAACGTGCCAGCAACTTAGAATCTCCTGACCCATAAAATATCTTGATTTTTACTTAAAAAAAAAAGCCTCGTGAAAATAATTCCGCGCGCACCCAGTAGCAGTGAAACGGTGCTGACAACCTTCCTTAGAGCCGGTGGCGTTAATTCACAGCCCACACGAAACTGAATTGCAGGAGGCCTCCTGGTTTAAGCTCCTTCATTGTTGTGGGTCTCAGATCACCGTGGTCTCGATGAGGTCCACGCTTCCAAAGCACTCGCAAATGTCATGCCAGATGCCATCTATCCTGAAGCTAAAGTGAGTCTCCAAGGGGATAATCTCAGGCTGTGCCTATCGCTGAGCACGGCGCGTGCTCACCGCTTCCCTGCTTCCTTGCTGCTGGCATTTGGCTCAGGTGCAGGCCGATATGTACCTGAATAAGGACCGCTACAGTGGGAAAAGGGACTTTATTTGAATGAAACGCAGCTGCAGCTGAAGTGCACCGAGACAAAGGCCGTCCGGCCTTCAGAGCTCACGTCACGGTCAACCTAAGACGGAGCTGGACTGGGATCGCCCCCTCCAGCTTGGGATGGATTTTTTCCTCAAATGCTCCCACCAAAGTTGTCTGCCTCTCTTGCTTACCTGAATTTTCTCCTCAGTTTATACTTTAAAGGCACCTGTCTGCCAGAAAGCTATAAAATATTCTGCAAATGTTTTCTTGTGAAATGGCTTAAATCTAGACTTGATTAAAATATGGGCCTTCAAAACAGCTTCAAATAAGCAGATTGTTTTAGCTGGAAGATAATTTTAATAGACAAATTTTAAATACTATGAACATAGTCACCCATTATCATACTGCTCAACAGGAATCTCTTGTAAGTCCACTGGTAAGTTATATTTCTCACTGGCAATGATATAAACTGCAGAGTTTCAGGAGAATTTTAATCTCTTGGGGAAAATTGTATTGTTTTTTAAGGATTGAAAACTCAATTATTACTGAAGAAAATATTTAATTTTTTTCTTAAAAGAATGATGCTGGATTTTTTCTTGAAATCAAACATCAATGTCAATGGGGAAAACTGGGA